GTGTAGGACAGGCTCAGCCTGCCCCAATCCTCACATATCACAGATTTCCCACCTCCTGATCCTCATCTTTGTTTGTTTTTGTGCAGACCACCCCTGTGACCATGCAGGTGGGAGAGGGGCAGCAGGTACAGATCGTGCAGGCCCAGCCCCAGGGCCAGAGCCAGCAGGCTCAGAGCGGCACAGGACAAACCATGCAAGTGATGCAGCAAATCATCACCAACACGGGAGAAATCCAACAAATCCCGGTAAGATTTGGCCAGGAATAAAGGTGGAAAAGTCTCCCTGAGGAAATTTGTGAGCATGAGGCTTGTTTCTGTTTGCTTTGGTAACTGGCAGAGGAAGTTTGGATTGAGTGGTGTGGTTCCTGCACTTAGGAAAACCAACCAACGGGGAAATAAATCTTCACTCTTTTAATCCAGACTCATTGCCCACCCCAAACACCTTCCCCCTGAGTGAAAAAGTTGGGATTAGGAAGCAATAAATCAAATATTTCCTGGCTAAAACCTCAGTTCTTCACCACAGCCTGCTTTGAATAGATGAGAATTCATTTCTTTTGCCTTTACTTGGTTGTGCCTCTGCAATCTCAAGTCATGACCTGGCAGGCTGAGTGGGAAAGTTGCCATCTGGGAGTTATTAATAAACTTTGATGTTAAAAGAAATATTTCTCCAAAATATTTGGAGCTGGTTGGAGAAATGGCTTTGCAGAAACAGGAGATTTTTTTCTGGTTCCTCACTTTTACATCAGCCTTAAAAATGAGATTTTGGGTTCCCAACGTAACCCAAACTTTATGAAATGTGTCTTAAGTAAACATAGAAATAAAAAAAATCACATTATCTTAGAATTACAACAAAGCTGTAGCTTTTGGTTCCCAGCTGGAAAATATCACACCTGTTAGAGGAAAAAATAAATAAAAATCAGCCAGATCTGTGTTCCAAAGGTCACCCAGGGCCAGGCTTTTCACTTGGATTTCAGTTTTGCTGTGAAATTGGAGCTTTCAGAGAGGTTTTGCCTTTCCAGCCTTGCTGAGCTTCCCTCTGTGGTCAGAGCATCTTGGAAAGGGTTTGGATTGGGGCAGTGCCAGATTTTTCCAGCTCTTTTCATCTCTTGACTCTTCAGCTGATTCCTGCTGCCTTGAGGTGTTGATCAGAAAGGAAGAAATTCCCAAATTGTCCTTTTTACTACAAGGAACTCCTTTTTTCTTCTCTTCATTTTCTTGTCCATTTCTTTTTTTTTTCCTTCTTTTCTTTTTTTCTCTTCTTTTCCTTATGAAAATCTCTCTGAGAGATTTGTTCCTCAAAGAATTATGGGAAATCTCCAGGGGATCCTCAGCAAGAAAAGAACAGCTCAGCTTTGTCTCCAGGAACTCCAGAAAGGGGCTTGGGAGCAAAAATTCCTTACAAAGGAGCCAAAACCTGAAGAAAATCCAGAGGGATCCTTTGGGAAGTGTTGCTGTGGTTTTGGACAGACTTCAGGGGTTTTAGGGTCTGGTTTTGACCCAGAATTTGCTTTTTCCTCCCTCTTTCCTGGCATTGTGGGAGGGTTTGGAGTGTGGAATCTTTTTGGGAATACCTGGATCTCTGACAGCTCCAAGACTGAAATTTGGGATGGAATAATCCAAATTTCCAGCCACCCATCCAGCAGAAATCCTATTTGCCTGCAACCAAGAGGATTTTTCTATTGAAGAGCCACAGTTGGTGCTGAAGGAACTTCCAGCAAGTGAAATAAAATAAAACTTGGAGAAAAACTTGGATTTGGCTCCACAAAATTCCAGTCCTTGATCTGTTCTGCTCTTCCTGCTTTGCTTTTATTTTTTTCCTTTTATTTCCTTTCTCTTTTGGCACAATCAGAGCCATCTTCTGTCAGCTCTGTGCACTCTGTGTTCCTGCTGCTGTGCACACTCCCTATTCCAGAAACAGAGTGGAAAAGTGAATTTTTAACAGAGAAAAACTGGAATTGAATCCATCAATGAAGTGAGAATTGTTTGGCCATATGAATTTTATGTTAAATTTGATCTTTGTCTTACCCAGGCCTCATTTTAGGCAGGTTCTTTAGAGTTTCCTCTCCTTGCTGAAAGAATTTTTCCCAAATCTCTTCCATCATTTAATGATGTAATTAAAACCTAATTCCCTCAGCGTGGAAAACTTGATCTCCCTGCAGTTCTCAAGGCAGAAACAAAATTTTTTATTGAATTTTATTGCTCAGGGGGAGTTTTATTTGCTCTTGAAATAATTTTGGAGCTTTCAGACACAAATGAGAGAGTTGGTGCCAGCACCATGTGCCAGGCACTTCTTTATCAGTCAGCAGTTTTTTAGAGTGTTCTGTGTGTTCTTTCTCTTAAAAAGAAAAAAAAACACCTTTTTTTTTGGTATGAAATTACCCTTAAAGCTGAATTTCAATGTTGTAAAGTTAAATAACAGAAGGAAAATCCAGCAGTGGTATTTGTGACATTTTTATTGCTCTCAGGTGTGTAATAACTCTGTTTTCTTCATGTCCCACATTCCCAAGCATCCAAATTTAGGTGATTTAAGGAATAAATTTAGGATTGAATCTCTCACACAAATCACAGACACCAAAAAGCTGAAACTTGTGCCAGGTGGGACTTGTCAGGTGTGAGCAGAGAGCTGCCTGCAAAGGCTCCAAAAATACCTTTGGGGTTTGAAATCCCTGCTGGCTTTAAAAAAAATCCTGTTTATTCCTTAATTTTTGGCAGGATATGATTGATTAGTGTACATGATTTGATAAGGGGTGCAGGATTTGATAGGGGTGCAGGATATGTTAGGCCTTCGAAGCCTCCAAAAATATCTTTGGTTTTTGCAATCTCTGTGGGGAAAATTCCTGTTTATTCCTTAATTTTTGGCAGGATATGATTGATAGGGGTGCAGGATTTGATAAGGGGTGCAGGATTTGATAGGGGTGTAGGATTTGATAGGGGTGCATGGATATGTTAGGCCTTCAAAGCCTCCAAAAATATTTTTGGTTTTTGCAATCTCTGTGGGGAAAATTCTTGTTTATTCCTTAATTTTTGGCAGGATATGATTGATTAGGGTACAAGATTTGAAAAGGGGTGCAGAATTTGATAGGGGTGCAGGATTTGATAAGGAGTGCAGGATTTAAGAGGGGTGCAGGATATGTTAGGCCTTCAAAGCCTCCAAAAATATTTTTGGTTTTTGCAATCTCTGTGGGGAAAATTCCTGTTTATTCCTTAATTTTTGGCAGGATATGATTGAT